AGAAGGGCTTTTCATAGCACCTAATTTAGGGAGCCTCACTTTCACAACATTGTGGTACATTCTCCAGTCGGTATGGGTCTTAACATTCGTATAATTAATACTGGTGACCCCTAGTGTAGCAATCACAGGAGTATGATCAGAGCTTAAGTCGTCTCGAACCTCCAGCACCATATTAATTCCTGTATTAGTCAAGATGATATCTAGAATATCAGGAGTGTACCTGATGTTGCTGGGCCTGAACGTCGGCACGTCAGGCGCAAATATACCAACTGGGTGGTTACTGATATACTCTCTCAGTACTTTACCATTGTGATTGGTGCTGCGGCAGCCCCAATCTTTATGCTTACTATTGAGGTCGCCACCAACAATCATTATTGAGGAATCCGGAATAATATTTTGTAACATTTCCTCAGTTAGCCTATTAGTAGGGGGTTGTAGATTGCCGCAAATAAGGTATCTCCAATCTTAGGCAAGCTAATAGAGGCAATCACAATTTCATAGCCCTTGTCTCTTTCAGTCGAAATTAAACAAGATGAATATTTACAATGAACGTAGATGAGTGCTCCACCTCCTCTGTGATGTAACCTATCACATCGGTAGGTTCTATAATTTTTGATGCTAACTCTGTCTCCTGGGGTGATGTGCGTCTCGGAGATCAGGCAAATATCAATGTCGTTCTCATACATAAAGTCCTCCAACTCATCTTTCTTTCCTCTCATGTTGTTTAGCATTCCACACTAACATCTTGATTGGCCTAAAATTATTATCTTTCCTATCCATGATTGGGTTCATTATTGACCGCGTTGAAACTACTAGCATTTGCGCTAGGAGCTAAATTTACTTGTAGAATGCCGGAAGCCTTAATAGCCTCAACAAGGTTTTTAAGCCCTTCAAAAATACTTCTAGCTTCATCTAGAGTATTCATTGTTTGCCCGCCAACAGCGGCGGCATAAGATTTATTGATAATTACTCTATCACTGAAATTCTTCAAAGGCGGATTTTGAGTATTTATTTTGGGAAAATTCGGGCAACCCCTGTAGTTGCTTGTATGATCTAATTGGCAATTTATACACTTAGGTTTATCTTCTCTTGGCTTGGGGCAGTCTTTTGAATAATGATCGCCAGCGCATTTCATGCATTTCGGGTCATGCATACATCCTGCCTGGGCATGATGAAATGCCTTGACACCGAAAGCATTGTACCGGCCCTTTCCTTCCTTTGTAAGCTTCTACTTTAACATTCAGCAAACATAATTTAGTTATATTATGTATCCCTCTCGCCTTTTTCATTCCTCTTCAAAATAACTAGAAACAGGGGCAGATTAAATTTTTCTCCATTTCTGCGTCTTACTAATTGCGAGACTCGTTCAACTGGGAAACCTCTATCTATCAGTTCATCAGATATCTCTGAGGTTGGCGTGTCGATCGGTAAGCTGCGTATAACAACTTTAACCTTCTTGTTTTCGGGTAAAATAAATGAGTGATATTTCACTCCTTTGGCATTAAGTAATGCAGTTAAACTCTTATGAGTTTCTATACTGTCAACTTTTAGCTCATAGTGGTCTTGAGCTTTCATTATACCTGATTTTAGCTTAATTCCTGCATCTTTAAACATTTCCTTATATTTTGACCAGGAGTATTTACCATCCTGTATAATAATCGGGGGAGCTTTATTGCTCACTTTATTTGGATGTATGAATTTATCCACATCCTGCTCATTATTTTCGGCAAAATTGGTACCAGTATCATGATCATGAGCATCACCTATTAGCCCAGCCGGGCACGTGACCTCATCTGCAGCACCAAAGAAGTTGCGAGGGCGTGTCTTGCCCTTTTAGATGGAGGATAGATGCCGAACTCTCGGCCAATCACGGCTCTCGGTCTCTTCTGTGAGCTGCGAATAGTAGGGTCGTAGGCTGTCATCTGCTGGAGTGCTCGGTTATCAATCTGTTCAATTTTGAGGAATAAATTTTGACTAAGTTTTTTAATGTAGTAATCAACAGGTTTAATGTTAAGGTCCGAATGAATCACATCTGTACGGACGTACCAGGCTGCATTAAGGGCCATACGTAGGGTCGTACTCTGAAAAGATTGAAGTTTTTTCACATGAGTTTTTGCAGCAGTACCCCAGATTGTACATGCATACATAAAGACAGGTCTTATAATTGATGTATAGAGAAGAATTTTGTTTTTAATTGACAGATGGCTCTTTCGAGCTAAGAGATGGGTAAAGTTGGGCTCTAGCACCTTTTGCTTTATTGAGAACATTTTCAATGTGAAGGCGCCAGCAGCGTAATTTTGAATCAAGTACAACTCCCAGGTACTTGTAAGAATTTGACCAGGGAACATAGTCGTCGAAACACTTTAAATTAATGGAAGGGTACGGGAGGTGGCTATGTTTGAAGATCATAGCAGCACATTTTGCAACATTAATTTTAATTTTCCAAGTGATGAGCCAGTGCTCAAGGCTGGAGAGATATCTCTGAATGATGTGAACCAAGTTTTCAAGGCGTTTGTTTTGAGCTAGGATGGCCGTATCATCTGCATAAAGAGCAAGAGTGATACTAGATGATTTTGGTATGTCATTGATGAAAATGTTGAACAAAAACTCAAATGCGTGTGCTTCGTATTCACAATAACACTGACGACTTGCAGTGGAACTTAAGAATAACAATAAATTCAATAATAAATAGTATTGCTGGACTAACAATATAGTTTAAGGCTAACTAGACTGACTCAACACACTCGATGATATACTTATTAAATGACTAAAGGGCGTATCAGCAACTTAGCATAACAGCAAGGACAAAATAGTAATGTGCACTGGCTAGCGAAATCACGCTCTAAATAAATTTCTAGTTTCGTACGTTTTTATACTCTCTTCACTTGACTTTACATCTGCATACTGGCGACAGAATGCAAATGAAAAATGAGAGGTTCAGCAGAGATACTAAACTTAAAATAATTTGTTATGCAAACTAAGGGAAACCTTAAAGATGTAAAACTTTGATTATATGTTTTTCTGACTAAAAGACTTCTAAATTCTTATATTATTTCCCTAAAAGAATTATAAATGATACTCTACTGTACTACATCCTTGTACTTTTCTTTTTAACTCTTTTTCTAAAACTGTATTTGTTATGAATGTTTAAACAAAAATCTGAAACATTGCACACATATCTGTTCTTATCTTATTTCACAAAACCCCAAAATAGCAATTTGCTGAACATACACTGCTGGCTCAACACACCCGATGATATACTTATTATATGACCAAAAGGCGTATCAGCAACTTAGCACAACAGCAAGGACAAAATAGTAACGTGCACTGGCTAGCGATACCACGTTCTAAATAAATTTCTAGTTTCGCATGTTTTTATACTCTCTTCACTTGACTTTAAATTTGCGTACTGGCGACAGAATGCAAATGCAAGTGCCAATTTGCTGAACATACACTGTTGGCCACCCAAATTGCAACACCAAGAAAGACAAGAGATATCACAACAAAATTTATTTAGTAAATAATATGTTGACCAAGTATTAAATGATTAAATTTATAGACTTGTGTGAAGTGTGGTTCCTTTCAGAATCAGTAGCCAGAGTAGCCGCCACTGTTGGAGATCAACGCTGCCACACGCCTCGTCATTGATTCAAGGAGACTTTGGATGTGTTCTTGGGGTACAGCAGACAAAGCAGCTTCCACACGTTGCCAAAGTTGATCTGGTGTGGCAGCTTTGGATGTAATCTGGGTCAATCGTTCAGCAAACATGGACCACATGTTTTCTATCGGCGAAAGAGCGAACCTGCCAGGGAAGCAATTCAATCTGGCGATTGACGAAGAAGCCTTGGACAATGCGTGCCACGTATGGTCACGCATTATCCTGTTGAAATATGGCTGTCGGCAAGCCCTGAAGGTAAGGAAGGACAACTGGTTCCAACACCTCGGAGATGTAGCGCTGGCTGTTTAAAGTACCGGCAATGCGTACTAGAGGAGTGTGAGAGTGATAGCCAATATCGCCCCATACCATAATACCCGGTGTAGGACCAGTGTGCCGGTGCATAACGCACCTGTTCAGCATCCTCTCTCCACGGTGTCTCCCGACTCGAATTTGACCATCGTGGTGTTTCAGACAGAAGCGTGACTCGTCAGTAAAGACAATTTCATTCCATTCTGCCATCCACATCCTTCATTCATCGCACCATTGGCGGCGGAGACGTCTGTGGTTCTGCGTCAAGGGTAGACGAAGCAATGGACGTCTTGCGGTCAGACCACTCTGCTGTAAACGGCGTCGAATGGTAAGCGCAAACACTGGATGATGCGTTAGACTGAATGTGCTGTGCTATGGTTCTTGATGTGACTAATCGATCCGTCACTGCCATGCGCACAATGTTCCTGTCATCACGTGAAGTGGTGCACCGAGATGGATGCGATAGAACACGTCGGTTCGTCGTAGCCTACCGCATCCAACGGTCAAATATCTGCATTACAGTCTTTGGTTTCGTCCAACATGACTATCGATTTCCCTGAAATCTGAATCCACACTCTCGGTAGGCCACTATCCTTCCTCTGTCGAACTCGGATACTTGATCAAACGATGATCGCTGTTTACTACAAAAGGCATAAATGATCTTTTTTTTTTTTTTTTTTTTTTTTTTTTAACCACAAGAAAAACACAATTGCTGAACTTGAATTCGTCGAAAACTCCAAGCCTTAAATAGCGCTTTGAAGTAGCGCTACAGGCGCGCGTGATATGCGTCTGCGCTGAAATTCCAATCATTTGCATATCTCACCTCCGCTAATGCATGTTGTAAATTTCATGTTACTTGCATGTTTCCTTTAGGGTGTTGCATTTACGGTGGCCAGCAGTGTAGTATATAGATATTCTTATTATTAATTTGTTATGGGAACAGAATAAAATTTATTTATATTAGTTGTAAAATGGTAAAGAATATATAAAGTTTGAAAATTTTACAAAATACACATTATATTTGTATATGTACCATTTTACTTTCCTGATCATCGGCTTTGGCAGTGTTCTGTTCTGTGACTGAATTTAAAACAGCTTCATGTTTCTTCTTTTTTTTCTGTACTTTATTTAATTTATGAGTACCACATGAAATAGATCTTTTCATCACCTCCTAAAAGGAAAAGAAAAAAAAAAAAAAAAAAAAAGCCAGCTATTTATAAGGTGCAAATGTTACACTATTACATTGTTCTGTATTTCAAAAAGCAGATTTAAAATTTGTAAAATTATGAGAGTAAAGTTTAGGAAACTTGAATTTAAAACATTTTACAGAATTCAAATTTTTGTAATATGCTGAATTCAAGAAGGGAAAGACAGCTGCTACTTAATTTTAAGTATGAGTTTATTACATATTCATTTTTACAAGGAAAATCAGGTTTAATCTTTCTTTATATACAAATTTATTTTTCATACAGTTTTCAGCTGCATAATCACTTAAAATCAGATTAGCCATGTGTTATATTTATGTTAAATATTAATTACACATTAAAATGAAGTACACTAGCAAGGGGAGCACAAACCTGGAATTCACCAATTTTGCATAACTACAGAGGTTCTATGAATGAATATATCTGTTCAAAGCACTAATGTTCAAAAGCAAGTAAGAAAGTAGAAGATACGTACAAGGGCGGGTTAAGCCAAATGGGGGAGGCCCCAAGCGGTCAACTGTTAGGAGACCCTAAGAAAATATTTGTGTACCTGTATGCTTGGAATGCAGTGAGTGCTGAAGTCTAACAAATAACTAAATACAAATAATTACTTAATATTATCAATATTTTAATAAATTATGATTTAATATTTTTATATTATATCCTCTGCATGTCAGAAATAAAATACATAAAAATTAAAATTATATCAAGAAGTTAAATATTGTATGTGAAAGAAAAGTAAAACATCAAACTGCTAAAACATTTTATAGAATATTTCAAAATTAAAATAATTGTTTAATGAAATAGATGACTATCAAGTAACAGATTTAATAATTTTTTTATTCACTTCTTTTCAGCATATTCATCAATTATTTTCGAAGTAAAGATGCTGTTTAATACTTCTTATTCCATATATTTTACAGTAATAGAATTTCATCTTTCTCATGATGTCGTATTTTTTAAATACAGAACAAAGTCCGTAATCTGGACTCGTCGGGACTTCGACGATTCCGGATTAGGGGGTTTTCCGGATTATAGATCATCAATTTAAATCTGGTACGATGGCATGCAGAAATTATACAATTAAAAATATGAAACCGTAATTTATGAAATAAAGAGCAATTATGATCTAAAGGGAATCAAAATTTACAAAAAAAAAAAAAAAAAAAAAGCTTAATATGTGTTTACTTTATTAAACATTTCTTTCAATGTAAGTTGTTTAAGTTGCTTCGTTTTTTGTGCTAATACTTTCTCTCTAATTCTATAACAGGACATAATTTCTTGTTCAGTTACAAAGTTCCACCTATTGGAAGCGGTATTTTCTGGATCTAGAACCATACTACAGATTGATGATTGTCCATTAATTGATTGATGATTGGGGCATTGTCCTCGCAATGAAAAACTTCTGTTATATCATCTTCATTTATTACCGCTTCTCCACATATCTTTATAAAATTTAATAACTGGAAAATTTCACCTTTAGTTTGCGATGTCCGAAAACCTTCAAATTCGCGGTCCTCACCATGAAAAATGGTAGCTAGCCATAAATTATGCCAAGCATTTTTTAACGTATCTGGAGACATCCTCCCAACGCGCATGCGTAAAGCATACAAAAAAAGTTTGTGGCTTTGAGATCCGGATTATAGATCATTCCGGATAATGGACGTCCAGATTACGGACTTTGTATTTTATTATTTTGTCACAAATAATATTAAAAGAATTACAGATAATTTCCATGCGTTGAAAGCAATTTACATTCTTCATTACTAGTCTCAAAATTGTTTTTTACCTTTTTTATGGCTCTTTTCTTCAAGTACCAAACATGTTATTGGAATTATTCTTTTCCTATGGTAAAGAATGCATAACGGAAGGGTGCAATAAAATTTTTCAGTGATTCTAATATATCAGCCTCTTTAAATAGGGTGCACTCGGTTGTCTGTAAGGATTTGCTGGTAATACTTACTCTCTATAAAATGTTGCTCCAAATTATTGTCATGAATATTTAATATCACCACAATTTTTTAAATAATGGTATAGCCTCCATTTTTTAAATAATGGTAGAGCCTCCATTTTCTGAACTTAAAAGTACAGATGTCAGGTAAGGCTTCTTTTATAAGGTTACCAATTTTTACAGTCAGTATAGCTCTTGCCGATAATATAAACATAAAGCTTTAGTGAGTTATTAATTTAAGTTCTTATGTTTTATATATTATTAAATATTTGTTAGTTTTTGGCCCTTCTTAAGATAGGGAAACCCCTCTCTGAATGCACTGGAAATTGGAATAGTCAAAAAACTGTTTAAATAATTTCTATATCTAAAAATGTTGATAACGTTTCTCTTGGAACGTGGCAGTGTGGCAGAAATAAAGCTGTCTTATTTATAATTTTTACATGGACACTCTTTGAAAGTCAACAAATTTAAATTAAAGAATATTTTTAAATTTTCTGTATAATTTTAATATACTTCATTTCTACAAGCAACTTGAGATATTATTTTGTCACAAATAATATTAAAAGAATTACAGATAATTTCCATGCATTGAAAGCAATTTACATTCTTCATTACTAGTCTCAAAATTGTTTTTTACCTTTTTTATGGCTCTTTTCTTCAAGTACCAAACATGTTATTGGAATTATTCTTTTCCTATGGTAAAGAATGCATAACGGAAGGGTGCAATAAAATTTTTCAGTGATTCTAATATATCAGCCTCTTTAAATAGGGTGCACTCGGTTGTCTGTAAGGATTTGCTGGTAATACTTACTCTCTATAAAATGTTGCTCCAAATTATTGTCATGAATATTTAATATCACCACAATTTTTTAAATAATGGTATAGCCTCCATTTTTTAAATAATGGTATAGCCTCCATTTTCTGAACTTAAAAGTACAGATGTCAGGTAAGGCTTCTTTTATAAGGTTACCAATTTTTACAGTCAGTATAGCTCTTGCCGATAATATAAACATAAAGCTTTAGTGAGTTATTAATTTAAGTTCTTATGTTTTATATATTATTAAATATTTGTTAATGATGCTAATGAATTCTTCATAAATGTCACATGACAAATAACTTACTTGTTCTTGTCCTCGATTACTGTATTTTTTTTAAAGCAATTTCTAAAAAATGTCATATTAACTGAGCTATTCCAAGCATGTGAAATAGTTTTCTTTTTGCTTGAGTTCTGATTTTCATCACGGCCTATACATGTTAACTCTTATCATCTTAATAACTTCATAGTTGATAAAATTCTTTTCAACTCTTCTTTCCTATAGCTTTTTGTGTGCGTTCTGCCTGTTGCAATAAATCAGAATCGATGCTGATTAAAGCTCAAGATGCTTCACACAAACTACTTGTTTAAAACATTATATGTAAAATTAATAAAGGGCCAAATACATTCACACAAAGAAACTTCGAATTAAATGTTAATTATTCATGTTATAATTTCAGGAAAATTTGGATGCATTTGCTCAAAACAGAAATGGAATTTCAATGGCTGAAATGTTAACATTAACATATTGCTTTTACTTTAATAATAAAAATAAACAACTACATCAGAATGTATGTAGTAATAGTGTACATAACAGCAGAGTTATTTTGTTACACAAGTGAGGAATTTGGCAATAAGGCGCTGTGATTTGAATCCATCTTCCATTTAATAAATTAATTAGAATATAAATTAAAACAATACTTCATAAAACAAAATTAAGCTTCATGAAGGTGCCGATACTTTTAAGAAGGTTGCTCGTCTAAAGCCAAATAATAAACTTAGAAGGCAACCTCGTCTTAACACATGGTCCAAGGCTAGATTAACCATTAGGCAATATATAAACATGTGCTGAATTTCTGAATCTGGTCCCGATAACAGAAGAGTACCTGCTCACCTAACTTATCAATTTAAAATATTTTCTGAAGATTCTAATAATAACAGTTATAAAATTTAATAATTTATTGAAAAATTCAGTTACACAATGTAAATGGTAACTGTTATTAGGATTAATGATATTTAAGTGATTTTTTACCAGCGTGTAAAGTCCGCTTATGTAAGAGAAGTATGAAGTGTACATGTGCTACTCCTTCATGCACATACTGATGCTCTGAAATTTTTTAAACATCCTGAATCATTTCTTCAGTGTCTCTGTAAGTTAGGATGAGCAATTTTCTGCAAGCCATTGCAAACAATTTAAATATTACAAAATCTAAAAATAAGAAACAAGCCAATATAAAATTTGACAAAGAACAAACTCTGATTAGCATAAAATTTGGTTATAATGTTTAAGGCAATCTGGTATAGATTCTTCTCTTTCTGGAGCAAAATAATTTTACACATGAAAAAGAATAACCTCCCGACATGAAAACGAATGAGTGCAGCTCCCGACTCTTCGGTTCAGTCATTCCCGGAGCTCAAACACACTCTCTCGACGAGGCACTAACCGCAATACACTAAGAGCTCCTTCGGTGCACTCGATGACCCATTCAGCTCTCGCTCCCGGCTGTCAACTCGATCGACTCCGCACGGTCTGACTCGCTAGACGAGGCACACACACTCGCACTCTATGCGAGGCACACTCTCTGAGACACTAACTGACCGTGGACCAGCAGGGTTTATATAGCTTTCGGCTTTGTTCGAGAACATTCTGGGCTAAACCGGTAAGAATTCGTTCGTTCCAGAAGGTTCTCCATCCATCCATGGGGTATCACCAATTTTGTCGACAAATGTCGCCAAATGGGCGATTTATCGCCAAATGTGGAAACTTTGCATTCCCTTGCCATTTTATGGCAACCCTGAACTGCTTTACAGGGAAGCTATCTTACCACGCCTGTTCATTTCGTAACACTGCCCCTTCCTAAGGACTGCACATGCCGGGCAGTACAACCCTTGGTCAGAAGCCAAATTCGATACAAACAAAACATAATAAAACAAATAAATAACAATGAAACAAATATTTACACTATGTACAAGTTATATAC